GAAAAATCATTTGCCTCAAAAACCAGGCAATGGCTAGAGAAATATGCATCCAGAAAAAATACTCTACTTCTCCTTGTTCTTGTTGGTACTTGCATGGTGATTGGAGATGGAATCCTCACTCCAGCAATATCAGGTATATGCCGAGCCCCTAACACACCATTGCTTTCTGGATCTTCCTTTTTTTTGTTAGTTTTAAATTACATGTTAAGCGTAAGGATATGAATCTAATGCCCCCAAGAATGTATACGAATGCATGTTGAGAAATAAGCAAGTAATGGAGAATAAATGGTTGATTTATGTAGTCTACCTCATTACGATCTTTTCACTTTCAAAGATGCGGTTGTTGAGCTGACGGCTAATTCACGATAGTGTTTGAGATTTGAGAGCCTATGAAATCATGTAACTGTAGTAGTGGACTAAATTCAACGACAAAAGCGTTGAATTTGTGAAATTATAGTTTTCATAGGTTGAAGAGAATGTTCAAATGATATCTCGTATATTATCTTTTTTACTTGTTGGACTTGCTGAGTTGCTGGCAGCCTGGCACATACTTTCAGAACCTCTCGCGACATCTTGAGATTGAATTTCCCTTGTAAATAAACTATTCCTTTGTGTCAAAAAAAAAAAAAAAAAAAAACTATTCCTTGACCAAAATAGATGTGACTTCAGCCATTGTATTTTGTATGTAGTGATTGCTACTAAATGATGCAAGTCACTGGTGCCTCATTTTTCCCCATCCTTTGCCGGAGACCACTACAATGAAGCTGTCAAAAGCCTAAGATTTACTCCAACCATCTTTTTAAATATCTTAATGGATAAGAAAGAGATTATTCCTGGGATATGATGATAATGATGTTTATGGAGCAGGATGTGCCGCAGCATAGATAGTTCTTTGTCTTGGGCATGTGTTTATTTTGTTTATTAAATAAATAAATTATTAAATCTTTTCAACCTATTTTACTAAATGTGGATTTGTATAGCTTTCTATAAATAATACCGTAAATCAATTCCTTTAAGAATAATCAATGTTGTCAAAGACAGCATATATTCATCATTAAACTTTCTTCGAAAATCTTTATCCACTTAATTTTGTTCTGTTATGCAGTTCTTTCAGCTTCTGGTGGGATCAAGGTCGACCACCCCAATTTGAGTAACGGTAGTCCCATATTTCTCTCTTTGACTTATTTATTACTCCGTATTATTTTATGATGCGATCTTTATGGAAAAATGTTTCCAGATTATTTCCAGATTTTGACATATTTTTCTTGGTGTGCAGATGTGGTTGTGCTTGTTGCTGTTGTGATACTGGTGGGTTTGTTCAGCTTGCAACATTATGGTACTGATAAAGTTGGGTGGCTTTTTGCACCAATTGTGCTACTCTGGTTTCTCATGATTGGAGGTATTGGTGCATTCAACATATGGAAATATGATAGCAGTGTACTGAAAGCTTTTTCTCCAGTCTATCTGTATCGCTATCTCAAAGGAGGAGGAAAAGATGGATGGACCTCTTTAGGAGGAATCATGTTAAGTATAACCGGTAAGAAAAAAAAAAAAAAAAAAAACCAATTTTACAAATCATCTCATAAAAAGGCTGTTGCCATGTTTTCATGCTTTTAAAAATTAATAGCAAAGATTCAGAATTTAATACAAAGGTTCACGTTCAATCCTCAATTGTACAAATGACAGGGACAGAAGCACTGTTTGCTGACTTGGCTCACTTTCCGGTGTTGGCCGTACAAATAGCATTCACAGTAATTGTATTCCCCTGCCTTCTTCTAGCATATTCAGGACAAGCTGCTTATCTAGTAAATCATCAAGACCATGTGGAAGATGCATTCTATCACTCAATACCAGGTTTATCTCAGCTCGACCTTTCTTTTTTCCTGTGCACATACATTTGCAATAATATTATCAGATAATATAGCTTAATTAAAAAAAAAAAAAAACAAATGTAAGGATGAGGAGGATTGATGTAGGGGGCGGGTTCCACAATTTTGTGAAGTTGCCCGTTTGTGGGGTCTAAAGATAATACAAGTCATAAGAAGGACCAGGATATAGTAACTACTACTATACTTGCATAGATAATTTATTTGGTTTAAGTTTAAATTAGAAATAAAGGGAGTGGCATAAAGTTAGAATTTCAATATTAAACAACTTATCTGTCTTTTTTCTTTTCATAATTAACTATTAACATTTAGAGATGTGAGTTTGAGTGATAATGGAAAACAAATATTTTTCTATAGGACGTGCATGACCTTTAGATATTCACAAGGGACTTTGCATATCCAATTAGCAACATTATTATTTATGGGCTGATAGTGCACTTTAGAAATAAAAGAAAATGGTGTTTTAATAAAGTAGTTTGGCTGACATATGAAGATAACTTTTAACAAATAATTGTCTTTTGTAACAGGATTCAGAGTTTCCATACATAGGATGCTTTTATATCTATCTAATATGTTAATGAATTTATGCTAATAGTTGATATGACTTGTGAGTGTCAGGGTGTGACAATGATTGTCTTAAATCTGAAGAACAACAATTTACCAAATCTGGATACATAGTTTGGTAATTTGTAGACGGATTGACTTCTGTAAAAGAGCACGAGGGGAGAGAATAAAAGAGTAAATGACCCTTTAGTTTTTCTTGGGTAACTGGGTGTAGTTCCATGGGTTCGGACTATGGTTGTAAATATCAAGACAACTAGACAAGTGTAAAATCGCAATCAACTGGAAGTAAAGTAATTTGTGTTATTCATGAGGTCTATGGTATAGAAATAAAGATACAATTGTGTTTCTTGATTGTCATGCTTGAGATTATTTTTTAATTGCAGATAGCATCTACTGGCCAGTCTTCGTCATAGCAACTTTGGCCGCCATCGTTGCAAGTCAGGCAACCATATCTGCAACGTTTTCAATTATAAAGCAGGCTCTTGCTTTAGGATGCTTTCCAAGAGTTAAAGTAGTACACACTTCCAAGAAATTTCTCGGGCAAGTATACATTCCAGATATCAACTGGATTCTTATGGTCCTTTGCATAGCTGTAACTGCTGGATTTAGGAACCAAAATCAGATTGGAAATGCTTATGGTGAGTTTGTTTCTTTTGTCTTTTGTCCTTTTATTGCATTTGTTATGATGTTATTGTGTGCTTGTGGCTTCTCTTTTCCATTGGATCTTCCTTGTAGGGAATTATTCTTGCATTGCCTTGGTTCTAAAACTAACTAATTGACGATTCAGGAAAAGTGCTATCTAAAACTGTCAATAAGAATCAACAATTTAATTGTCTTGAATTCTGATGTCAGGCTTTGTGGTAATGTAAGTTTCAATATCTTCAAGATTATTGCCTACCCTGTGGAGGTGTGCTAGACATTTATTCTAATGTCTAACAGCGGTTTGACCATGATTGAGCTAGAATAATTCTGGCTGATAGCCAACTGAAATTTCTGTATCTTTCCAACTTTTATACTACGTATAATGTAAGGGGTTATATATTAATCTGTGTCAGCATATAAAATCTATGCATTTGGTATCAGCATCTCAGCATTTTTTCATTGTTGAGAATCAAAGTTTTGTAAAATGTGATCAGGAATTTATAGAAGACTGGATACATTGATAGCTATATGTCATTCGTTTTCTGTAAAAGTTCTGTATTTACAATATTGCTGCACCTGTACAGAATAGTGCTTTTCAGTCTTCCAGTCTCTCATCATAGTAACTTTAAACTTGGTGCATCTTCATGTGTTGACAGGTACGGCAGTTGTGATAGTCATGTTAGCCACCACATTCCTCATGATTCTAATCATGTTGCTGGTTTGGCGGTGGCACTGGATACTCGTCTTGATCTTCACTGCTTTGTCATTACTGGTGGAATTAACCTACTTCTCAGCTGTTCTCTTCAAAATTGATCAAGGTGGATGGGTCCCCCTTGTCATTGCAGCTGCCTTTCTCATTGTCATGGTGGTTTGGCACTATGGAACTGTGAAGCGCTATGAGTTTGAAATGCATAGTAAGGTCTCGATGGCTTGGATTCTTGGCCTTGGCCCTAGCTTAGGGTTGGTAAGGGTACCAGGAATTGGACTTGTGTACACCGAGCTAGCCAGTGGTGTCCCCAGTATTTTTTCTCACTTCATCACCAACTTGCCGGCCATCCATTCAGTGGTTGTTTTTGTATGTGTAAAATACCTTCCAGTGTATACAGTCCCAGAAGATGAGAGATTTCTTGTGAAGCGGATTGGACCTAAGAACTTCCATATGTTCCGTTGTGTTGCGAGGTACGGTTACAAGGACCTTCATAAGAAAGATGATGATTTTGAGAAGAAGCTCTTTCATAATCTCTTCATGTTTGTTCGCCTTGAGTCTATGATGGAAGGGTGTACTGATTCTGAAGAATACAGCAGCATATATGGTCAGCAAACAGCTGAGTCTAGAGACTGCCTGTTGGATAATGGCACAACGATAATGACTGAATTCGAGCACACAATTGAATCAGGGGATTCCATTATGCCTGCCAATTCTCCTTTGCGACTACTACAACTAAGGCCAAGGTCGTCCGGGCAGACAAGCAGCCAAAATGAAATTGATGAATTGGAGTTCTTGAATAGTTGTAGAGATTCTGGGGTGGTGCATATATTGGGCAACACTGTGGTGAAAGCAAGAAAAGATTCAAGGTTGTATAAAAAGATTGCCGTTGATTATATTTATGCGTTTCTTAGGAAGATTTGTAGAGAGCATAGCGTGATCTTTAATGTCCCGCATGAGAGTCTGTTAAACGTTGGTCAGGTATTTTATGTATAACATTATTCAATTCCATAATTTCATCAATAAGGGAAAAAAGTAAAAAAATAAAATTAAAAAATTGGTCATCAATTCACAAGATTAGCACAAAATCCATTATTCCTCATTTACTCATTTTGGAGAGCTACAAATCAGCAGAATATATCACAACCTTGTACAAGAGATACACTATACAGGAACCCAGACTAGTAATGTCTTCACAACATAAAGGGCTAACACAAACTGGTAAGAGTCATTTCGTCAATAAAATCTTCAGAACATGTAGAGCCAACACAAACTGGTAAGAGTCTTTTCACCTCCTTTTAGCTAGCTAAAATATTTTTAATAAGCCCGAAATCATTATACACGCGAATGCTTAGTTGAATTTGTTATGCCTATCATATCTCCAGCCTACCTTTGGAATACTGATATGCCTCTTGCTAATGAGCCTGCTACACATTAACACTTTAACCATAGATTTTCAACCTAGCTAATCCTAGATAAGATTTGATATAAAATGGGACATAATTTAACCCCTAAACTCCCAAACCTTTGATGCACGACCAAAGTTGGAACCCTGAGGATGGATATGCATCTAATTGCTTTGCCACATCTTGGAGTTCAGCGCTCTTCGAATCCTTGGTTATTAGATACCTATTGCAAATAGTTACTGCTTTCTCGTATTATCCTTACTGATACGCTAATAAAAATTTTGAAAGAAAAGTGCTGCATATATGTATGGTAGATATTTAAATTTGAATAATGATGGAAAATTATGGTTAAAGTTAAATAGCTATGTTTCCAAAAACGGACCTAGATAGATCAAACACGGTCTGTTATTCTGTAACGTAGGGTGTATGATCTTCCAACACAATTTAGAATGTGCCAATTCACATAGTATGAATCCTATGTATGTCAACTCAAACAGTGAAACCGATGACAATGAGACAATGATTATCATTTGCACATGAATTATAAGAAGAATTGCACTTTTATTCAACTAGAAAGGCATTTACAACTTACAGCAAGAGAATGAACACAATGCTGATGTTCAAAACATCCAGCAAGGAATTGCAGACGTATCATGATTATGTATATACTATCTTCTTGTCAACGACGAAGACATACAACTTTCTAGCCTCAGTTCTTTGGAAGTTCCTCTTTGACTCCTTGGTAGCATCTGGGCTTCAGAACGCCCACATATGGAAGATTTCTATAGAGCTCAGCAAAGTCCATTCCATAGCCTACCACAAAATGATCTGGACACTGCCAAAACTATGACTGTTAGACATCATATCCTAAATTCTAAGCAGACACAAATGCAAATACAATCATATGGTGAATTGAAAGTTGATCATCTAATTTTTGGTAAATCCAAAATAGTTTATCTTTTTTACTGAAGGAACATTACAACACTCGAGCATCTTTAAAGAACATAACTTTCATCGTTTTAATTTTCAAGAGTCAATTCACATATTCACCGGTTATATTAATTATAGCCAGCATGGTTATAAATTATAAGAGCATCTTCTCATAAACAATAGGCCGCATCCTTTTAATATTGAGCATTCTGGTGCAACAACCACAAGACTAGCAGGCAGCAGCCCCATACAACCAAGCAATTTAATATTGTGGTCCTAATATTAGTGATCAAATTCAATTCAGTTCAAAATTTACACAGCACAAAAGAGAATAAAATTTCGATATCAATGCACCAGAAAAACTAAGGAAAATACAAAGTGATGACTTTTATCAGTACTATAAGTTTCAAATGAGTGAACCGAATGAGCTTTACTGTCCTCATCAAAGCATGAGCTTATCTTGCCTAGTCAAACTAATACAACCGAGTTAAATGAGATCGTAATCAAACAATGATTTTAATTACTTCCTCAGATTAAGTATTTAAGTGACCAGAATTTTCACATAGATACTGAATAAACTAAGGTTTAAGAATCAAATAAAGATTAAGACATAAAGAAAATGCTGATAAGCTTCTCTTTATTTGACAGGTTGCTTTCATAATTCTAATAATTGGACAACGCATCAAACGCACAGCAGTAAAGGCAAGTGCCAGCTGCATGATTTGATTCTAAAACCACAAAAATCAGCTACAAGAATAGAGCAATAAATTTGGTACTCCGTAAACCTTGGGGAGGCCTGAAGTGAACCAGTTTGGTTTTCACTTGTCAGAAGTTTTACAGTACCTTCCTTATCTGGTTAGGTGTTGCACATCATTTACGTTTAGGTAACAATCATCATCTGGACCATATCAATGTATTCTAAATGAAGATATTAAAAGGAAGATAATTTTGTTTGTTGTAGCCTTCTACTTTAATAAATTTGATGCAATTTCAGTAGTTTACCACAAGGAATCTTTCAGAAAAACTAGATCCCAATGCAAAATTACCTCAAAGCCTCGATAGAACTTTCCTTTCCCAATGAGCTCTATATTAACCTTCCGTCTTGATGGCTTATCAAGGAAGGTGCATACTGACACAGAAGATGCTCCCTTTGATTTCAAATGTTTAATGAGCCAACATAACGTGTTTCCTGTATCCACAATGTCCTCAACCTGAATCCAAAGGAAGAATGTGGAGAACATAAGCAAAGAAATTATGTACACCGATGAATTTGGTTGAAAATCATTCAGAATTACAGCATTTAACAACATAAACAGGATTTTGCCAGAATTATTCCATTCAAAGTACAAGGTAAGTCTAACAATGTCACATAAAGTATCCTAATAATACACCTATTTGTTGACTTAGGTAATATTCTAAGTCACCTTATTCCAAGAACTTTATATCTTATTCTTATTGGAATCAAACAAATCAAATCAAATGAGACCTAACTAGACTTTCTTATAGGCGTACACTAACTTCCAAAAATACGAAACTTCATATTAATAAGAGTTTTAAACTAGATATTTGAGAAAAGGGCACATTAAGACGAATCTGACAAGACTGAGATAACAAATAGAGTCAAAGTGGAGATAAAATCACATCAAACTAAACCAAATCAATATTATTCTGAAAAAATTTATTCTTCCGGAGAAAAACATTAACCAAAATGACAAATTTATCAAAGTAATCAGACTATTTTGTATGCTCTGATAGACAAACAAACAAACAAACATAACAGTTCTTGTCTTTTTAGAATAGTAAAAAAAAATAATAATAAATAGAATAGAATAGAATAGAATAGTAAAAATTCAGAAAATAAGTTTCTTTTGATAAATTCCGTTCCGTGCTTAATCAGATTCTTAGTTGATTAAATATAATGGCAATATTACAATCAAGAAGCATTACAACAGTATTTACAACATAATTAAATGTACTAGTGTAGCATACTCAAAATCACCAATACAATTTTCTCTCACTTTACATATGCATTATATCCTAAAAATGGGTTCACATTAAACATAAATATTCGTTTATTTTTCAATATAGTGATTAATGAGTAGATGGGACACTTAAAATCTTAACCTACACGGAAACTATTATCCATATGTATTATACTATTATAGGAGACAAGTGTGTTGTGTCGTGTTAAACTTGTGTTCGTGTAAGATTATGATAGACGTGTTGGAAAATCCTTTGACAGCTCCATTCAAAGAAAAAGATACGAGTTGCAAAAGAGCCAAAAGTGTAAAAACATTGTAAAATGACTTAGGGCCTATTCACATTTAGTTAATTTCACTTCAGCTCCAATCAGTTCTTTTCAGTTCAGCTACAATCAGTTCTTTTCAGTTCAGCTTTTAATTTCCTTCTCTCATAAAATATTCATTTTAGCTCAGCTCAGCTCAGTAAATGTGAACAAGACCTTAATCAAACACTAATCATAACAATACGTGATGTAAACAGAAAAAAATTGGTACCACATTGATGGATTGAAGTTATGTATTGACATACGTGTGTTGCAACGGTTTGACTTATACATTGTTTGTCTCAATTTACAATTTTACAATACCAAAACTCTCAGTTATTAATAATGAGAGATTGAAATTATTCTTTCACAACATCAAAACTTTATAATTTGTTACTAACTAAAGTCAAACATCGATTGAAATTACGCATTGACAACATTAAACATTGCAAACATAAAACAGGAAATAAAATTCGTAAATGAAAAGAAAAAAAAAAAAAACCAAATTAGAAAGTACCAAAACAACGTGTTTGTCGGTGACATCGAGCTTCAAGTCAGAGGAGATAGAAGGGGAGCCATTAGAGAGAGTACCGGTACCATAAGAGCTAACTCGAACTAAATCAATGGAAACCGGTAACGATACTCGTCGGACTAAATCGGCTAAAAACACGAAACAACCGGTAGCAACGCCGACAAACACCGGTAATTCGGTGGACTTAACGGCGGAGATGTCGTGGGTGAGTTGAGCAGCGAGTTCGGAGACTCGGTTTGAAATGTCTTCTGAAGTCCATAGTATGTTCTCTATGTCATCCTCCATTGAAAAGCCTTCAATTTGTGTTTACAAAAACTGAAAGTGTATTGTGGTTTGTGATATTATGAATATTTGATGAATATATGCTACCTCCTTAACTTTGAAATATTTTATGTCTCACTGCAGTTAAGTTGCATATAATACGAAGCGGGGGTAGTTTATGATTCCAGCCTCCTTTAACTTAGGGGTCGTTTGGTTGGGGGTAATCAACAAAGGGAATGAGAATCAACTGGCTCGATTTTCTTTGTTGTGGTTTGTTAAGCACATTTTTCCATTCTCTTTACTCTCCCCATTACCCCAAATCCTTCTAACTTCATTCCCCACCCCCTAGACTTTTCCATTCCCTTTCCTTAGCCACCCCTCCACCATCACACCCACACCTAGCCACCACCCAGTCACCACCCAGTCGCACCTCCACGGCTCCACCGACCTTCGCCGCCCCTTCCCCGATCGATGCCGCCCTTTCCCCGAGCCTCCACGACCATCGAAAAACCTAAAAAACCAACCCAGTTCACTGTTAATCCGTCGAACGACCTTCCCCCACCATCGAAACCCTAGGCGTTAGGGTTTCGAGGGTGGGGGAGGGACGTTTGATGGATTTCACGGGGAGTGGTGAGGTTTTTCAGCGGCGTTAGGGTTTTTCTAGGCTAAGGAGATTTTCGGAGGAGGGACGACCTCCGCTGGGTCGACGAGGGAAGTCTGGCGAAGGGCGGCGAACGGTGGGGGAGGTGCGGCGACTGGTTTGGTGGTTGGAACGTTGGAGAGTGAATGTTACTGGTGGTTGTGTGGTGGTGGGAATAGAGGGAGTGTTTCCCTTTGTTTTAAAACAAACATCACAAGTTTTAGGTATTTTCATTCCATTCTTCTCCTTTCCCTTTGTTCATTGTATTCTGATTCCCTCGTGCGAACCAAACGACCCCTTAATATTTCTTCTGTTCCACAAATATTGCAATAAAGATGAAAATATGCATTCCAAATGCATTTTTGGAGACAAATCTAATAAGAGTATAAGACCCTACATGACTATATTTTAGTTTACATACTTTGCATAAGTCATAATATATGATGAAACAAGCATATAAATAGTGTAAAAGTCCAATTGTTGTAATATTACTAGAGCAGAAGAAGTAATAATAATTGAAAGTTCTACGGATTTTTCACCATATACCATTGAGTTTAATGTTAATTCACCATATACCACCCAAAATTTTCAAATTCAACATATAACCTTCAGTTTTATGAAAATGTTACAACATGCCATTTCCGTTAACTCAGTTAGTGATTAAAGTGAATTATCAGCTTGTATTAGGTGATTATTAATATTATTTATTTAATTAACGAACTTTATACAAGTACTCCCTCCGTTTTTAAATACTTGCTCCATTTCTCCATGCGCGGAGTTTTAGGAGAAAATTGTATAAAATAATATAATATGAAGGTAGTGGGGTTGATGGAAGAATAAAAAATTGTAAAAATTCAAAAGTAGTGAGAGAATTGGAAGAGAGAGAATATGGAATTAATATTGTTGGGTCCACTTGGTGAGAGAAATTAATTAAATATTGTAATAGCTTTTCAAATAAGAAAATGGAGCAAGTATTTAAAAACGGCCGAAAAAGGAAAGTGGAGCAAGTATTTAAAAACGGAGGGGGTATTATTTTATTTTTTTTACAAAAATTAATAATTATCCAAAAAATACCTCAACCAACCACCACACCGCAACCCAACCACCCACAATGCCCCCAACCCCCTGCCACCCTACACCGGCACTTCCTCCTAAACCCCGCGGCGGCGCCACCCTAACCCCGAACCTCCCGTCGACGTCTTCCTCTTCCCCTAAACCATCATCTTCTCAATCTAAAACCCCTTCCCTTCCTCGAAAAGCTTCCCTCCCAACCCATCGACCGTCCAAACCCCTTTGCAAAAGCCGGCAAACCCAATCCGCCCCTCCCTCTGTCATCTCCATCCTCTTTCTCCCCTGAATCACCACCTCGAAACCCTTAAACCAAATTTAGGGTTTTGATGTTGGGGACTTAGGGTTTTGGGGAGGTTGTTTTCTTTTTTTTGGAAGGTAAGAAAAGTATATTGATAAAAAAAACTGTACAAAAGAATAATGTACAATCCTGACAAGCAGGAACCCAAAACTACACAAGCCTTAACAACAAAGGCAAACAACCACCATGGTTTTAAGTTCAGCCTTACCACCTTCTAGGAAGGGTTTAAAGCATGAACAAAAAACCAAAACCAGGTCAAAGAGATCCCTGGTACCTTCTAGGAAGGGCTCAGGGAAAACCAGACCTGTAGAATCAAAAAACCTACACCCAACACTAGGGATGTCAATGGGGCGGGGCAGGGCGGATGTTGACCTTCCCATCCCCATCCCCACCTAACATTTTCATCCCCATCCCCATCCCCATCCCGCGGCGGGTCTAATATTCATCCCCATCCCCGCCCCGGCGAGTACAACTCCAAAACCATCCCCGCCCCACCCCCCCACTTGGATATCCATCCCTGCCTAATCCCCACCAAATACCCGCCTAATCCCCACCCAAGACCCACCAAATTAATACGGATTATAATATTAAAAAAAAAATCTTAGTATTACACACATTTTTGTTTATAATATAAGTGTAGTACAAATATTATAATTAATATTTACTTCACGTAATTATTTTATAAAATAATATAAAAGTATATAGATGTGGGTATGAGGTGGAGATGGGGCGGGTACGAAGTGGGGCGGGGCGGGGATGGGGCGGGTACAACTTAAAATCCACCCCCGCCCCATCACCCATGGCGGGTATCGTTTTCATCCCCATCCCCGCCCCACCACCCGCCAAACCGAGACCCATCCCCGCCCCACTGGGGCGGGGATGGGGCGGGTCTCCTACTTGACCCGCCCCACTGACATCCCTACCCAACACCCCATACAACCAGACTAAACAACAAAATACAGCAAAACAGTTAAATGCATGACTTGAGGTGCTGCAACCATTTACAATCTTCAATCTTCCATGTGTGATTGATCATCTGCTGACATCTAGTCACAACTTCTCTCTTTACACCTTTTGATAGTAAATCCGGCCTGAGAACAGCTTTATACCAGAAAGCATGGTTCCTAGCCATCCAGATATTGTATACAATTGCAGACAGGCAAGCCAGGATCACTTTTTGCTGAATACAGTTTTTACCTGGCCTCTTCTTTTCCAGTTCTTCCAGCTATTAAGAGAATGCAGAAGGGAACTAGGAAATCCAAGCCAATGAGCAACCTCATCAAGTACCTTTGCATTATAATTGCAAACAAAGAAAAGGTGGTTGCTGGTTTCAGCATCCTCACCACACAGAAGACAATCATTAGAGTCACAGACCCCAAACTGAACTAGCCTGTCTCTAGTTCTGAACCTATCCAAAGCTGAAAGCCAGTTGATAAAGGTATGCTTAGGAATGTTGAAATGATTCCAAACCCAGGCATACCAATTTACTTTGTCCATGTTACCCTGAAGCCATTTGTAGCCATCTTTGATTCTGTATCTTTTATTTAACCAGTCCTCAGTCTCAAACCCCTCTCTAAGCTCATATTTGACCTTACATAACAGCTTCCAGGCCCAACCAGCATCTTTCTTTGGTTTATAATCCCACCAATCCTCATCCTTGATATAGACAGAATGAACCCATCTAACCCATAATGAATCAGATTTCTTTGCAATTTTCCAGACATAGCTTCCCAGAGCAGCTTTGTTCCAATTTCTGCAGTGTCTAATACCTAAGCCACCAAACCTCTTGGGTCTGCAAACCCAATCCCAGACAATTGGGGGGACTTAGACAAAACAGCATTACCACTCCATAGGAAAGCTCTACATAGCTGAGTGATTATATCTACCACTTTCTTAGGTAAAAGAACACACTGAGCCCAATATGTATGCAAACTCATAAGGACAGAATTAATAAGGGTAACTCTAGCAGTATAGGACAGGTTTCTGCTACTCCAGCATTGCAGTCTCATCAACATTTTATCAATCAGGCTATCATAATCACTCACTTTCAGATATTTGGCATTTAGAGGGATACCAAGATACCTAAAAGGCATATCATCAATGACAAAACTAGAATTCATCAATATACTATCCTGAACCTGCTGCTGAGCATTCCCAAAGTAAATTATTGTTTTATCAAGGTTTGCTTGAAGCCCTGATCTTGCCTCAAAAGTTTTCAAAGCTCTAATAAGGAGTTTCACAGAACTAGTGTTACCATAAGAGAATAACATCAGGTCATCAGCAAAAATCAAATGATTAAGAGCTAAAGGAGCACATCTTTAGTGAAAATTAAATTCTTTCTTTTTACCAATTTTCCTAAGAAGTCTGGTTAGATACTCCATCACAATAACAAACAAGAGAGGGGACATAGGATCACCCCGCCTCACACCCTTTTTCCCTTTGAAAAAGCCATAAGAACCACCATTGAGCAGCAGAGAGAAAGAAGGAGTGGTCACACACTGCATGATCCAAGAGATGAACTTGGAGGGGAAATTAAGAGCAGTCAACATCTCATGAATAAATCTCCAATTGACAGAATCATAAGCCTTCCTCAGATCAACCTTAATAGTACATCTGGGAGGCTTTCTCTTAATACTATAAGCTTTAAGCATATCCTGACAAATCAGAATATTATCTAAAATAGATCTCCCAGACACAAAAGCACCTTAACAACCATCAATCAGATTAGGAAGCACTTCCTTCAATCTATCACAAATCATTTTAGAAATGATCTTGTACACCAAATTGCAACAAGCAATTGGTCTAAATTGAGTGACCCTATTAGCATGCTCAACTTTAGGGATCAAAGTAAGGGTAGTAGCATTAATCTGCTTAAGGAGGTTACCTGAACTAAAGAAATCTAGAACAACTTTGGTGATGTCAGGACCAACCAAACTCCAGGTAGCCTTGAAAAACTTGCTGGAAAACCCATCAGGTCCAGGATCTTTGTCATCCTCAATGCTCCACAAAGCTCTCTTAACATCCTGCTCACAAAACTCCCTGCAAATATTGATGCTCTGATCTTCATAAAGCACTTTACCTTCAGAGATAACTCCATGATGAATATTACCATTCATTTGAGTCTTAGTACCAAGAAGCCCTTGATAATACTGAAGAAAAGCATCACACACTTGCCCTGGATATGAGATAACCACCCCTCATCAGTTACAATAGAGTAGATATTATTCTGAACTCTTCTCTTTCTGATCATAGCATGAAAGAAAGCTGTGTTCATATCACCATCCTTGAGCCAATGAACTTTAGCTTTTTGTTTTAGAAAGTTAAATCTATCAGTGTGAGTTTTAGGAAACTGTATCCTAGCCAATCTTTCTTAACTGATTAACTCTTCATTACCAGGATCACTTTGCAGCTTAATCTGGATATCTGCAAGATATTTCTCAGCAATTGCATCATCAACTTCCACACAAGAGAACCTACCCATCTTGGATTCTTTCAGGAAGTGCTTCACCTCTTTCAGCTTCCTCACACATTGGAACATAGGAGTACCAGAGACCATTTTACACCAAACATCCTTAATCCCAGGAAGAAAGTCTGGGGAATCTACCCAGATATTCACAAACCTGAAAGGCTTTTTAGTATGATTACCAGAATCAAACAAATTGATCACACAAGGGCTATGATCCATTAACCCCTCAGGGAAAAAAGTAGCTTGCATATCAGCAAATTTCACCATCCAATCATTATTAACTATAACCCTGTCAATCTTTGAGCAAACCCTATCCTTGCCTTCCTGTTTATTATTCCAAGTATAAAACATTCCTCTTGTAGCCCAATTAGTGAGCCCAGCATGCCTTAGACAAGATCTAAAAGGCTCAACCTCAGCTAAGGACACAGTGCTCCCTATTCTGTCATTCAGATTCGGCACACTATTAAAGTCTCCTTGCAAGATCCAAGGACCTTTCACCTTATTACTGAGCTCAACAATCTGCTCCCAAAGCTGTACTCTAGCTCCAGTAGTATTCAGACCATACACCATAGTACAATCAAAACTCAACCCAGTAGCTTTGTGAACTACATAAACATGAATCAATTGAACTTCACATCTTACCACAGTCACATCAAAGAACTGAGATAACCAAACCACCCAAATTCTACCCCCTTTATGGTAAGGGTAGTTAGCACATACAGACCAGACACTTCCAAGCCTACTAAAAACATCACCAAACTTCCCAGCCTTCACCTTTGTTTCAAGAAGTCCAAATAAACCCACTCCATGGTGTCTAATAAACCAAAGGACATCACAGAGCTTGCTAGCTTTATTTAGACCTCTTATATTCCAAAATCCAAGCTTATCCATGGTAAGAGTGAGAACATTCTCCTTCTTCCAAAACATTGAATCTGTTACCACTATTACTGATTAAATTCACCCCTGGCTGCAATAACTGAGGTTTCTGACAAGCATCATCAGCCTGCAAATATTCATTCAAGATATTTGTCCTGCTCCCAGCATTCTGATTCTGAGTATCAGGTTTTTGAATTGGCTTCCATACTCTTTGTGGCTTTTTCTTTTGTCTATTCATCTTCTGGTTTTTCTCAGCTTGCAGCCCCTCCATTTTCCTAGCTTGTACTTTATGATTAGGACACTGAGCATCATCATGTCCAATCCCACTACACACCTTACACACCCTAGGCTTCCATTCATATTTCACCTCCTACTTAACTGTGTTGCCAAGCTCATCCAGGAACTCAATGAATTCTGGTAACTCAGTATTGAACTTAACCTCCACCATAATCCAAGCATACTCCAGTATTTCCTTGGTAGCAGTTGCCTTATCAGTTTTGATAAGCTTCCCAACCAATGAAGCCAGCTTCAGTAAAGCCTTTTGTCCCCAGTATTTCAGGTTCAAACTAGGCATTCTCACCCAAATAGGGACTAAATCCACTAGTTCATCTACAAGGTCCGTTCCCGCCACCCATTTCTTCATTATTATAGGCTTATTATCAAACCATACAGGTCCTGAACCCAGCACTCTATCCCTTGCATCAACAATCCTGAATCGAACCAGGACAATCCCATTTGCCATTAAAGAGACCTTGTCTATACCAAATTTACCCCATATTCTTCTATCAAACCCATTAATAATAGACAAGGGTGTCTTGATTCCAATCACATGGCATACGATTGCGAAATTCCAGAAATCAATCTCTGGTTGCACATCCTCAAAATTAATTTGAACCTTATCACTACTATCCCTTACAGAGTCATTCCTCCCCACAGAAATGTCTACACCCTCATCCCTAGTCCCCTGAAACAAGCTTTCCCTCCAATTCAATCGAGCAACAGAATTAGAGTTTGGGGATAGAAAAACAGGGGATTACAAATCGGGGTTCTCAAAAATTGGGGAAAATGCATTCATATTGCACTTAGAGTTCTCAAGCATCAAAATAGGAGTTGTATTATCAAAATTTAATACACTATCACAACAAGCAGCAGTACGAAGTTCATCATCAATGGCGGATGAAGATGAACGAATTACCTGAAGCCAATTGTTAAACTCCTGCTTATGCTCACCACGATCTTCTACAGTTACTGAAGGAGTTATGTCTTCGATAAGTGCAATTACTAGATATATCAAGGATCACTATTATGGAGATAATAAGTTCATTCTATAGGGTCGTCAATGTTTGGTGCTAGATATGACAATTGATCTTTGGGCTAGCTTAATAGCCCAAAGCCTTATAGAATGGATCCTACAAGGTCACACATAAGAGTATTGGGTTAAACAAGTTAGAGGCCCATTATTGGGCCTCATGAGTTCATGACATACCATGTTGATGATTGGGCTTGGATAATTAGAAGAGTCTAATGGGTTTTGGACTTGACATGGTTTTATTTCTAGATATGATATATAAATATAAACCATGCCTAGGGTTGCAACACAGAACAATTGACATACAGTAAATTGTCACACAAGCAACCAAGCATCCCAAAACCCTAATCCTCTCTCTCCCTATTCGGCCCTCACTCTCTCTTCTCCCTGTCCGTATGACTCTCCCTTGTGGGCGGCGCGTGGGTGGTGGTGTGGTGTGTTCGTGACTCGGATCTCCGTTGAAGGTTGATTGAAGCGTTCAGTCACAACTAACTAGCATTAGTGGAGGTTTAATCCGTGCTCGTGGACTAAGTAGAGGAATCACACGTGGGGTTCTTGTTCTCCTTATTGTTCTTGCTCGATCACTTGTGGAATCACGCTTCAAAGGTATTATTCTTACTCTTTATGTGTTGTGCATGAGATCCTTGGTTAGGTGCTATATGAATATGATTCATGATTATTTCCGCTGCGTAGTACCTATTATCCCCTACAGTGGTATCAGTTAGCCTCTTGCAATTACATATATTGAGTATTAAACCTTTGTTGATCCACAATTTTAATTCAATTAGGAGGGAGAATAATTTAATTATGGGTCAATTATTATATTAAATGTGATTTAACAATATAGAATCATTAAAGGTGTTTAATTTGCTCCATATTAGCCCTAAAAAGATCCGAAAATTGCCCTATCAAGTTCAAAAATTCGAACCCCCCCCCCTTAAAATTTCGAAAATTTCGAAATCAAGAACCCTAATTTATGAAATTTGTGTTTTGATTTTGATTTAATTCGAAAGTTTTATGTTTAAAGAATTTAATCTAATTGATTTCATGATAAATTATGAATTTTTCATGATCAACCTATTTAATTTAAAAGTTAAATTGAATTGGGATTAAATTCATGAGGAACCCTAATTTTAAAATTGAATATGATTTAATTTTAAAATTGGATGGACCACACTAATTTTAATTTTAATAAATTTTTTTTAAATTAAAAATCAAAAAAAAAAAAAAAAATTGAGGTGCGGCAGCCGCGGCTGGGTGGCGCAGCCACGGCGACTGCCGCACCGGTGGTGGTCCAGGAAGGAGGGCGGGCTAGGCACGGGTCAGTAAAGGGGGCAGCGCAGCAGTGCACCACCCCGATGTGTGTGCTGCTGCTGCTGCTGTCCGGGCGTCGCTGCAGGGGCAGCGCACACCGCAAGGTGTGCGGCCACCGTGGCCGGCTTCGGCTGGCTACACCACGGTGGCTGACGCGGGTTTTCAAAATAAAAAATAAAATAAAAAATAAATAAAAAATTTTATTTTATTTTATTTTATTTTGAATAAAATCAGTTTTCAAAATTAAAAATTAAAAGATAAGTTTTGATTTTGAAAAGATAATTAACAAAATTAAAGTTGTTAATTTTGTTAAGATAGGATAATTATGGAGCAAAAGATTCTATTTGGATAATAATTGATTAAATAATATGATTATCTAATAATTATTTTAGGATATTAATTGATTTAAAATATGTGATTGGCATGTAATTAGGATAGAATCTCCTAAAAGTTAGGATAATCATGGAAGATAAATATGATTTATCTTCCATAATTAAAATAAGATTTGATTTTATCTCATACCTAAATTAAAATATGTGATATTTTATAATTGGTCATGAATAATATATGATATTATCTAATTACAGTAATTAATTAAGATATGAGATATTTTAGGAGCCATGTTTCCTTTACTGTGAACATTCGATGTTGTAGTTTAGGAAATCATGATGAGTGATTTATTATATGGCATTTTATAATATATGATGTTATATATTTCTATATAGACTAGTATGGCCCATAGATTCTAAATACGATCTGCGCATCGTTTCGTATTTTTGTAATCTAAATACGGTCTGCGTACCGTTAAGTATTTTTGTAATTTATTTTATTTTATTTAAGTAGTAGATAGAATATAATAGAATTACAGGTTGCAGTTAATCCAAGAATCCATGGAGTGGAGGCCCAAAGGAGCAAGATAGATGAGATCCATGAAGGTTCAAGTGGGAGTTTTTGCTTTATTAGTTTTCTTAGGATTAAGGGGTCATACTATGTCATGTTTTATTTATGCATTAGTAGATTATGCATGTTATATTTTATTTATGTTGTTTGATGATGCGCTGGAGTTCACTAAATAATCACAACATAATGAATCTAGGTCCCAGTAATATTGAGGTAGCTTTTCCAATCAAAAACTCGATGAAACCTTTGATATTTATGATGGGTCATGCCAAAGCAGGGTGTCATACTATATCTTAGGGGAGTGGGGGTAAAACAAATTTTACACTTTTGATTGGTTACACTCAACAAGGTTACCTAAAGAGTTTAGAACCTTGAAGCTAAGGGTAATAATTAAGCATGTGATGGTTAATTATTCAACCAAGAATTACAAAGAGTTATAATCAGTAAAGAGTTTACTCACCTTGAAAATGTAATAGTTGATGGTAGGGCCAAAGTCCGGTCAATTATTGCACAAATAAAGGATCTTGGAATCATTCTATTCAATAGGGATCAATTAAATTGAATGAATGTTTTAAAGTTACCAATTTTATAATCGCTTATGGTACTTTAAAAGTTTATTAAACATAATTATTGAATTTTCCTCGTTTTGTTTTTTGTTTGTAGATGAATAACTTATACGACAACACAATTTTACCAATAAAACTTAACTTAAGGCTGAATCTCAGAAACTTCAGGGAATGGGAAAAGGAGTTGAGAAATGTTCTCACAAGCCATGGGCTTGAATCTCGTTTATACATTCCTGTTGAGAGCAAATACACAGAAAAGTATGGAGCTGAAAGGCATGCTGAAATTGTTTCAGCTGCAGAGAAAATCAGAGAGCTTATTTTAGAATCTATTCCAACTTGTTGGAAAAGAAGATTCAGGCACTATGAGCTAACCATATTGTACAAATGTCTTCGTGCTATCTGTCGAGGTGGCATAGGAGCACTAGGAAGTGGAGGCATAAATGATCAAAATGTAAGAGAGGTCGTTAATTCGATCCCTCAGATTTACTATTCCTGGACTGACAGTGTAAGGTATGAGGCTTACAATGTCCATAATGGCTAAAAGACTCATGCCTAGTCTGTCAGTAAGGGCCCATGTAAGGGAATTGATTGAAATGTTCAATCAAATGGATGTCCTTGGGAAACCGATCGATGATGACTCTGCTCATGATATTATTTTGTTCTCACTCCATGATGGTTTTGACATTGTCAAGCTCACTCATAATGATGAGGGATCTTCGGTGACATTGATCAATCTGTTTCTTAACCATGCTGAGGAGTTCCTAAAGAGGAGAGGAAGCGAATGCTTCTTTTGCGGTAGTTGGCCATGCCATACACCAGGGTGTCCCCACTATACACCAGTGAAAACTGAAGGTAAAGAGTTACTTGATGTTTTCGTTGTAGAAATTAATCTTACTTCATCTTCCACTTGATTATTTGATACCGGATGTGGTGCTCACATCGTTAATAACGTGCAGGGCTTTAAAGAAAGTAAGAAGTTGGCAAAAGGGGAAGTAACGCTTCGAGTAGGAAATGGAGCAAGAGTTGCTGCACTTGCTATTGGAAGCTATCATTTAAGACTTCCCTCTGGACTTATTTTGGTGCTTAATAATTGTTATTATGTACCAACAATAACTAAAAACATTATTTAAGTTCCTGTTTTAGATTCTAAAGGATTTTCATTTGAAATAAGAGACAAGTGTT